GGCACGGCCTCAGGGACATGGGGTCTCTGGGGTCCTTTGGAGCTTGGCTACTCTTGGAACCTCAGCAGAGCAGTTTGAGGTCTTCTCAGGGTTCAGCGTCTCCTTCCCTTCCTGGCCTAGCTAGCTGTTATTCCCTCTGCTTTTTCACACTTTCTGCTGGTCACCACCTTCAAGAGTAGACTCCTGCTTGCTGTCCTCTCCACCTGTTTGTATCCTTGGAGCTCAGCCCCCCTCTACAAACTGCCCTAATCTCTTGGTTTTTAATTTCACACTTTTTTCAAAAGATGTTTCTTGAGCATGGAGCCCTGTTCTAGGAGATGGAGACATGGCTGTGAAAACACAGACAAGGTTCTTGCCTTCTTGGTGGGCAAACAATAAAACAAGCAAGATGGGTTCAGAGTGTTAAAATGCTGAGGGTGTTATAAAAATAGAGTGGTGAGATATGGATGGTCAGGAAAGGTCTCCCTGAGCCGGCTAAGTGTCAATGCCATCTGAATGACCAGGACCAGCCAGCCAAGATGAGGACTAACATTCCAGGAGGCTTGAGCAGTGAGTGTTTGGAGCTGTGCCCCCACAGGCATGGGGAGTGGAGGGGAAGATTGAGGGCAGGTTTCTGAACAGGCTCGGACTTGAACCTAAGGATTACCATGGGCTGGCTTGCCTGGGGCAGCGGTTTGCTTCCTTAGTCGGTAGCAGGGATTCAAATTCATGCTCTTCCTGCTCTTGCTATCACTATAAATAATGATCAGTAATGACACCAGGTCTGCACATCACTCAGCAGTTCCAAATCACTTCCCTACTATGATCTAATTGAACACAGAATCTGCCCCAGAGTGCATCCTGGGAAACAGGAGCTGGGACTTTCAGCTCTATTCCATGTGTTCTCTATTCCAAAAGCGGTGTGCTCTTTCCACAGAATGCCCTCTTCATCTCCTAAGAACCCGCATGCAGAAGGAGAGCACATTGTGTGGGCATGTCTGACCGATCAGGCTAGCTTCCTGTGGAAGTATTCCTAAATGTCAGGGGCTTAAATTGTAACCGGACAAACAATGGGTCTATGCTGCCTGTCACTACTCAAGCCAATGAAGCAGAGACTGGGTTGAATCATATATGAGCATTTATTCCAGTCCTGCCGGCAGCGTGGAAGAGCAGCAGGTCAGCCACAGAAATCTGCTCTGCCCCCCACCATCAGCCAGTTGCTTAAATAGTAAAAGTACAAAGGAAAAGTAGGCAAAAGGGCAGTTTTCAGATATGACTAGGGATCTTCAAAGGGCTTAGTGACATGCAAGTTTGGGGTTACATGGGGGAATAGCCAAAAGGAGTGCCAGGTGGGCAGTGAACAGGTAAGCAGGCTGGAGGTCTGCAAAGGCCTGCAGGTGTGCAGAAGGACTGGGGACCTTCAAAGGGCTGGCAATTCTGGTTTCTGCAGCAAAGTTGTTCATCTTTCCATGAGAATAGGCAGCTCCAAATGGGAAGGAAGGGCTGCTTTTCCAGGTCAGCTCCAGCCAGGGTAGAAGTGCCTTCTTTAATCAGAATAAAACAGTCACGGTGAACAGAGCATGATTAATATTTCTTTCAATACTAGCTGGTTCCCCAACGTTCTATTGCTGGCCCCTTTCAAACTGAGATAAGTCATGTCTATCTCACTTAAAGTACAAGCATTGGTGGATGACAGCAGGGACTGGGTTCCCCTCCATGTATC